GAGAGAGAGAGAGGTGGAGAGTTTATTTTAAAAAAGTATCAAATGACGAACACAGTGGGAACATAGCGGTAGAAGGAACTGGTTGTACAAATGAGGGTGGAGGTCATAGATACATTCATAAGATTAGGATATCGAAAGTGAAAGAAGCTTTGAAAAGGACGAAGATAGGAAAGACTTTAGGACTAGATGGTATCCCGTAGAGGTTTGGAAGTTCATGAGGGAGATTGGCATTGACATGTTGATGAAGCTGTTCAATAAGATGTTGAGAACAACGATAATGCCAGACGATTGGAGGAAAAATATTGTGGTACTTATTTATAAGAATAAAAGAGACATACAGAATTGTGCGAACTATCGAGGGATCAAGCTTATGAGCTATACTATGATGCTCTAGGAGAGAGTGATTGAGCAATGACTAAAACATGAAATGCGTGTATCTGAAAACCAATTTGGTATTATGCTTGGAAAGTCAACAATTGAGACTATTTTTCTACATAGACAACTGATGCAAGGAGAAATTGAATCTACCTTTTTCCTGAACCTTAAACAAATTAAATCAACAATAATAGAGAAAGAACATAGCTGTAAATCAAGCCAAGAGAAGAAAAACTTCCTTCCTTCATGAAATAAAATTTTTTCCATTAACATATCTTTTCAAATATGACATCCAACGTTTTAGAAGTTTATGAAAGTCTAATTTAACTTGAGATCCAAGTAAACATTTATGACTCTAAAATACCCCTAAAACAATACTATAATTCTAAAAATAACCCTGTGAACAGTAATACATGAATAGTAGCATGTGAACAGTAGCTATGAATAGCAATTCATGAACGGTAAGTATGAATAGTACATGAATAGTTTTTGTGAATAATAACTGAAAATAAAAGCAAAAACCCTAGAATCTCTAAAAAACTAAAAAACCTTAGAAAAAACCCTAAAAACTAAAACTATACTATACATCCTGGAAATTGAATAAAATAAAAAAAATAAGAAGAATTTTCCCTCTAGCATTCTCCCTTTGTTGGAGAAAATTCGTCATCGAGTTTTGAATTGTGCCAAGATGAATTCAACTTCAAAAACATCTTTTTCAACCTTCTTTTTCTTTATTGGCTAAATATTTTTCGTGGTAAAGATAATTCTTCAAGAAACAATTCTTTATATGTATATTGAGGAATCAATGCAAATTCATCAATATGGATATCATTGAAAATTGTGTGGGAAACTTCAAACTCAATTTTTTGTCCTCGAAAGGCTTTCTCTATATCTATTTCATTATTTTTTGAAACCAGGGCCACAATTTGCAGATCCTCAGTCGATTGCGATTGCACTTCCACTACGCTACTATGATTCTAATGCCCTAATTCTCCTAACTGTTCCACCTTTTTGATATCCTTAAGATCTTTATCTTTTTCTCCGTCAAATATTGGTTCACCCACATAATCTTGATCATCATCATAGATTGGACCTTTTACAAGATCTTGTTCATTATTTACATATGTATGGACAATTGGTGGCAGATCCCAATCTACATCATGCTGATTTTAGATACGACCTACATCAAGATCAACCTTGTTCTCTTGCAAATCATATAGATCAACTAAATCCCATGATTTATTCTCTTGAATATGAGGCTCCTAACACGGAGCGCATGCATAGAACGAATGGTTGAAGGCAGCTTCATCATTCTGCTCCAACTTTGAGTCGGACTCTGATTCGCACAATCTCCATAAAAACCCTCACAATTTGGATCTATCCCTGTAGATTTCTCTTTGCTTAGGGCACATCGTTGCTGGCCCCGCTTGCACAGCAATAGCTCTGTAACGCTCTCCGTCAAGTTGTTGATTTCCTTGCGCAGTTGGAGAGCATCCCTATGGCTAAGACCTCCACAACCAGCCATCGCAATCTCTAACCGTCCTCGAACCATGCTCTGATACCACTTGATTCAGGGAGAAAATATGGGAAATTGAATCCACCCCTTTCTTGTAGCTTAAACAAGCTAAATTAATGAGGAAAGAACATGATTGTAAATCAAGCCAAGAGAAGAATTTTCTTCTTTCATGAAATAAAATTTACTCCAATAACATATCCCTCCAAATATGACATCCAACTTTTTATAAACCTATGAAACCCTAATTTAACTTGAGATCCAAGTAAACATTTAAGACTCTAAAATACCCCTAAAATAATACTATAATTTCAAAAGTACTCTTGTGAAC